ACCTGATAAACTGTAGTTAAATGAGTAAATACATCTGATATGGATGTGTCCTGTTCTATGAAATAAGCAAAACAAAACAAACAGACAAACAACCCCACACTTCTGCTAATATAACTGGAACATGTTCTTCTGAAATAAAAGTCTACTGGTAAAAGCATTTTTACTGCTATGGGTGGATCAGTACTCAAGTTTTTACTTACAGAAGGTTTCCAGAACTTCTCTAGTCTTCTCCTTAATATGGAAGGAGCAAGAGCTACAACAGTGCTACAACCAATGCTAACCTAACTAACTAGTGCTCCTTCTGAAAGTGAAGCTTTCACACCAAGGAAGGCCAGTAATTCATTGGCCATGGCTTTGCTAAATTCAGATCACTTCTCAAGCTGCAACAAAACAAGGAACTCAAGAAGGTGACTAACAGAAGTAAATTTGGAGTTACCAATGTTGAAAGGACCTGCCAATTTAATCTTCAGGACATTTCATTGCTTTTCATTGTCTTGTAACAAGTTCTTCCTCTAGCAGTAATTTTCATTATAGTTACACTTAGAAGGGCTGGGCATGGAGTTTCCATGTTAAAGCAGCCCACACCTTCATATAATTCCTAAGAATTAACATATTTTTAGAAGGGACCCCCAGGTTTTGGATGAYGCTACCATGACATCTCAACTCCTTCTTGTGTTGAACAGGTTATTGAGGTAGTCAGTGGTTAATTCCAACTTGATACGCTCATTTACTTGCTCCTTCCTACCAAGTCTGACCTGTTGTAACAGGATTCAGTAACATCAAATAACTTCTCCATTTAGACAGTATAGTAGGTTCTTGTGCTTTTTTTATTCATTTATTTTAAATGCACATACTAGATACTACATAACTGACTAGAGGACCTAGCAGGTAATCAACTAACCAGAAGCAATGGTTCATCCACAGATCTCCTCCTTGTCAATAACAGACTGCTAGTCAACTGCCTGTCCTGCATCAGAGCTTTGCACAGATTTTCTCTTTAACAGCTCTGTCAAAGACAGCAGGGTGATGCCAGCCCAGGATGTACATGGCATGTAGCCTTGGGACACTCCTACACTTCTTGTTCATTAGCAGTTTGTGTCTCTCGGGACACCTCTGGGGAAAAACCAACCTTGCTGTAACTTAACCAAAGCAGTAGTGCATCTCAGTAAGCAGGAAATTGAAGCAATTACAGGGGATTGATTCTATTTCACCTGTGACAAAGCAACATATATTTTAACTAAATTGGGCCCCATACAGATATCATTGCTCCAGAGTTCTCAGCTAATAGCCAGTGCTGATCCATCAAGTTCCTTATCATCAGCATCAGCCCTCTGAAACTTGCCCCTTAACAGCCATTCACTGCTGCATCAGCTGGAGGCAAGACGACTTTAGTAAATAGTAGTTGCAGGGCTGTATTTCCTGACAGTTGGTGCAGATCTCTGCTGGTCTGACCTCAGTGCAAGCCAAAGTGCTCAGAGACTTTCAGTCACATGGGATTTGGCTGCGCTTGTGATTACAGAGTTAAAATTTTCTGTGTATCTCTAGCTGTTGACTCTGGAGATAACAGTATCTAGATCTGCCTGCAGGCTTTTCTTTATGGCCAGGCCTTTACAATTGGGTTCTTTTTACTTTCTACTATGCCTTCAATCTTGCTAGACAAAAATGTATTTATTTTATTTAGCASAGCTTTGATTTTCTCCTTCCTGGTTTATGTAATTAATGTGGATCAAATAATAGCATTCTGCAGCTACAATAACAGAGATTAGATAGAACAATGCAGTAACTACTGGGGAACTACTAGGGAACAACTATATTAGGTATTAGTGAAATATTACATAAAAATAAAACAGCTTGCAGAGAAAAGAAAGGAGGCTGAGAAAAAGATATTATGGTAACTGTCCAACATAGAAACTGCACTGGACACTCCTCTGATTAACGAGATGCTCTAAGCAACTAGAGCTACCCTGGTGTCTCTCATCAGGGAACACACCTCAGGAAAAGGAAGCTGGAGGACATAGCGTGGAGACCTATGCCAGGAAGTGCATCCAGGCCCTTCCTTCCCATATGGCAAGGGAGCTCCTTAGTGGTAGGAGATAGGCAAACACAGAAAGTGCCCTCTTTGCTTGCAGCCTCAAAGCCTGGGCATCTCCGGAAGTGTTCTCAAATCTGCAGTGTCTGGAAGACATCTCTTGAGCAGTTTCATCCTCCAACTGAGTGCAATTCCTGCTCTTCATGATCCTGAGGGTCCATAGCCCGATGCCTGCTTTGTCGTTGTACCTCTTATCTTCTGCATAGAAAGTGGGAAATATCTGGCTCACAGCACAACGGCTCTCAAGGAACTGTTTGCTCTTGATCTTATTCTTGGTGAGTAAGCGGTCATGGCACAAGCTTTGCTTAATATCCCAGAAAAACAGCCTAGGTCCTGTTAGATAAGCCAACAAAACCAAACTTGGGTCTTGCCCRAGCAGCTGTCCCTGGTTGTATAGCAGAGATTTGATGCTGCAGTCCCTCTGTCAACCCTCTGTGCTTCTTCTGAGCGTAAGTAATGAAATCTAAGCAACATGCAAACCAGTTCCATCCACGTACATTTCACAAACATGTATGCATTATTTAGAAAATGTAGAAAATGTATTTAGAAAAGTCATGCTACAGAAAAACCAGGCAGTCACTCGAGACGGAGGAACAGCTGCAGGAAGCAGAGACCCACCAGCACAGGTGTCACAGCCTGCTCTAACACTCCTCTGCTTTTCAGGTTTTATTGTCTGCTATTTCCAGCCCCTTTTTTCTTTTCTTTTGCCATCTATAAAATTATTTCTTCACCAAAATAGATCTAAGCCATAGAAATCACTGGGCAAGAACTCAGTCTAGCTCCCATTGCACGGTTTTCTTTACTTTGCCTTTTCCTTTCTCTCTTGTCCATCACTACACCATACTCTGCTGCTAACTCTCTTCTGCTCTCAGTCTGTGCAAGGGCTGGAACAGGCAGCTCCAGTCTTGTCAGGTTACCAGGAGCTACATGATAAACAGGTTATAAAGTGATGTTTGTACAATTGCTAAGTAAACTGGGATCTTCTTTTGGTCCTTCTGCACTTTAAAACAAACACAGGGCTTAGAATTATCTCGGAAGAAGAAAAGCTCTGTATATAAGAAAACAATAAAGATTTGCCAGTAATGTCAGATCAATTAAAATTCACTCACCACTTTATGCTTCAGACACTCTTTGTATCTCTTTCCTAATTAACAAATAACATATATAACAAAGAAACAGACTTGTATCTAGCATACAGACTTGCTACCTGAAGAGGAAATTGCCAGGAAAAAACACTGTGTTCAGCCATTGACTGTACAGGAAAACATCT